GCGCCGCGCCCGGCCCTTCCCCAGCCGGTGAGCGGACGGCGCGGCGCGGGGCCGGAGCGCAGGTGCGGGGACTTGGGGTCGCGGCTTCGCGGTCGCCAGGGCGCTCCCCTCCTGCCCGCGACCCCTGCTCCGGCGGAGACGTCGCTGCGCGCTTGGCACCTTCGCAGCTTGCCAGGTTGAACACCGCCGTGTCAGAGGCGATGGCAGGTTAGTTAAAGCGTGCTCCCACCACCCCCCGGTGTGGATAATGTGGTCTGTGTCTTCGTCTTAATTTAGTATGAATGTGTTATTTCCTTCGAGCTTTAAGGATGGAAAAACAGTGGAGCGGCTCGTTCCATCCATGTTTTTCTCCTCCTCCTCCTCCTTCATCTTTTTTTTTTTTTTTTTCTCGTTCTGAGCCTGTGCGCAGAAGGAATTGCAGACGCACAAGTAATGTTACTACCATTCTATTTTAAATACAAACACAGCAAGAAGTACGCTTGGCAAAATACCAAAGACGTCTGTACTCACTGTTATATAAGTGCTTTAAAGATATATTTGCCATTGGTAAAGTTGGGAGTGACTACCAAAGCATCCAAGAAGAACACAAGAAATCAGAGCCATAATTTCTGCTTTAAACCAAAACTTTCCTTGGAGATAAGCTCGGTCTTAGCTTGAGATCTCCTTCTAAGACAACATAGGACCCTTTAAAACTCCCTAGTAAGAACTGTAAAGCGTTAAAACCCAAAAGCTGATTTTGAAGCCTGTTATGAAAATTGGTGGAAATTTGTGGATAATGCTTTTAAGAAAATATCACAGATATCCTTTACGGCTTTTCAGCAACTAGATGATTTCATTTTGCTATGGGACGGAAATAGTAAGAGAGCTGCCAGTTATTAAACTCTGTCCTTCCCTCTCTGCCCTCCACCTACGAGCTCTGCTCGGTTAGTTTTTTTTTTTTTTTCAGGTGAGAAGACTAAAGCAGAAAGCATTAGATGTACCGATGTCCAGGCATCCTTTCCACCCCTACCTCCCCCGTTCTAATTGGTCTGGAGTGGTACCTTGTTATTTAGGATTTGTTTTCCAATTATAATTGGAAAATATTGTTTCTTTTAATTTACCACTTTGTAGCCTAAGGTATAGCTTCAGTGATTTATAGTAATATGGAGCTGGAAAAATCAGGGAGAAAAGCGGTATTGGAAAGGAGATGTGCTGGCAGATTTCAGCGCGTAAGTGCTCATGTTTTGTCTAAATAATTCCTCTTGAGTTTTCTTAGAAAGAGCAGTTGATGTTATCCAGGACACATAAGTCGGTGTGGAATACTCACAGAAGTCCTAAGAGGTGTCATGCATTGTGCAGCGGGTAGCTGAAAAAGTTGAGCACTGTGTCAGGATATTTCTTCGTGTTTATATTCTAAAATACTCAAATCTCACTAAAGACGATTTCCCTTATCCAATTAAAAACTTGTTATCTTAGTACAGTGTAAACTAATGAGGTGAGTGCAAAGGGCTTTTTATTGCTTTTAATGTCAGAAGTAAATCTGGCTTCTGAATCACTGGATTCAGTCTATTTTATGTAATTCCAAGTATCCAAGCAAGCCTGGGATCAGACCTTATGGATGCTTTATGAAGGCTTATGTAAGAGCCTCAACTGTGCTTTTGCTACTCCCTGTTTTGAATATTACATAATTGACACAGAACTAGGCTGTTGAGTCCAAACTAGGAGAGGATGCCCAACCCAGTCCCCATGCCTATTTTATAATGAATTGCTGCCGCCAAATTAGAGGGAACAGCAGGGATGGTGGTTTGTGAAAGAGATAAGAATAGCGGATGGAGGATTGATGCAATAGAAAACTGTTATGCTTAGTGATTTTCTAGAGATCAGAGTGCTGCTGGAAGGCTCCCTAGTCTTTTATATCTCCCAGCAGAGGCAACTGATGGAATCCAATGAATCTAAAGGTTCAAAGCTCCCAATGAGACTTTTTTGTGGGGAGGAGGATGCACTAACAATTTGTTCCTATGGTCATACTTAAGTTTTTCTTTTTTTCTGTATTTTAGGGAAGGGTCTACAGGGTGTTCAGGGTCTCACTATTAGATGGGACTCGGAGTGATCCTCTTGTTTATAGCCTCCCAAGAGCTGGGATTACAGGTGTGTGCCACCACGCCCAGTGCCAATTGTCCTCTCAACATACCCTGGGGCTGGGCGGGCACAACAGGCCCGGGGATTGGCCCCTGGCCCCTGTGCCTGCTTGCCAGTGCTTTAATCCACTGAGCTATTTGGCTGGCCCTTAAATTTGTTTTTGTAATTTTGAATTCTTTTTAAATGGGGAGAATGATTTTTTCCCCCTACCACTCTTCTACCTAATTTATATGAACCTAAGGCACCACAAACCCCAAATTGGCTCCCATTTCCAAGTTCTATTCAAATATTAACTTAGAAAGTTGTCTTTTAGTTTTTTGTCATCTTATGAAAACATGAAAAAGGGAAGAAATCTGGCCCATGCTGGATTTGACCTGCTGAGAAAATGCAGAGCTCTAAGCTAGGGCTGTGTGGAGTTCCAGAAATAGGTGGTTACTTGAACTGGAATCTGTGCCTGTAACCTCACATGAAGGGGACATTTTTGGATCTGAGTGTGAGCTGGAGGTGGAGAAAAGCAAAGGTGGGGGTGAGAATATGAGAAAAATGGGTTAAAACTCTTCTGTATGTCAGAGGCAGGCTGCCAAGAGGGAGGATGAAGAAACCCAAGCGCTGAATGTTTCATTAATAAAAAGCTAGTTAGTAGGAGCAGATAGCATAACTTTGTAGGAGACTTGTACATAAGTGCTTTAGGTTGTGTCTCCAGTAGGAACTTTAAAACAGTAAGCACACAAACTTGTACTTGGAAAACATTTTGCAGAACACAGGCAGGTTGCGAAGGACTAGATAAATTATCAGTTTGTTCCGATTAGCAGTTTTTATGTGCAAGTGAGAGGCTTATATGCATCAAGCAGAGTTTGAGAGGGTGTTGGGAAGATGTGATGTACATCTTGTGATGTACATCTGTGTCCTGCTACCAGAAGTGTCTTTTTCCCAGGACCTGAATTTATTTTTTTCTCTGAAATGATTGCCGCTTGCTATCTGAATTTGAATGTATACTGACCTTTTTTACCCTAACTCACTCTTCCCAGCACATACACTTCATCTACTCATATATCATCCATCCATCCATCCATCCATCCATCCATCCATCC